TCAGCTTGAAGAAGTAGACACTTTCAAATACCTCTGTGCGAGACTGCCGCCAAATGGGCAGACGCTTTTCCCAGACGGCAAATCGCACTGAATTCGCCGTTCTCCCATTTAAAATGGTCGTAGCTTAAGGCCTGTAGCAGTGGCCATAATATAAAACAATGAATGCATGTGCTACTCATTTGGTAAAATAAAACTAAGCGTACTTCCATTAAAGTCATACCGAGAGTCATGCTTTCTGAATCACCCTAGCTGTTAATGCTCCTTGAGAAGGACTGCCCCTTTCGTGTTCAGTCCATCACCGCTCCACCACCGCGTGAGTCCTGGTCCGCAACAATCTTTCCTAACCGTTTGGTATTCGGTCTGGCGTTCGACAGGGTTATATCCTGTCGCCCAAGCTGTTCAACTACGTTATGGACTGGATTCTCGGGAGGGCTCTACATGAAGGTGACGGTGTTGAGTTTGCGCCCGGACACCGACTGACTGATCTCGACTATGCCGATGATATTGCCTTACTTTCCTAAAGTTTTGGTGATCTGCAGTCTATGATGTCAATCGGCCGGTTTATTCATAAATGCTGGGAAGAATAGAGTGTTTTTTAAACTTGATCCCTGACCAGGACAAGACACCTCTCGGGATTGATGGCTGTCAACTTGAAGAAGTAGACAGTTTTAAATACCTCGGGGCCAAGGTGCTGCCGAGTGGACAGAGTAAGGATGACATTGTCCCCAGAATTGATTTTCCTTAGATGGAACGCATGCACCTTGTGGACTAAAATTCTCTAGCGCTTATGCAATGGCTAATCAAGCTCCAAATTATTCGGGAATTAGAAAACATTTTTAGAACCTAATTATACTCCTTTTTCGAGTATAAAATGTGAAGATGATGTGATTCTCCATCAAACGAGTGTAAAAAGCATCGTTTTGGGCATGCTTTTTTATAAAATATATTTAAATTTATAAGACCATCGAACAGCAGTGTGAAAATGCATGCTACTTAAGATGCCATTTTTCGCCGGGTACGGCTTCTACAAGGGATTGAAAAGAAGTGTATTCAAAAGCCGACATCCTGCCAAGTCCGAAATATTATAGAATTATGCTGCAAGAAAATCGGTATTAGAACCCCACGTAGGTAATCCTTCCTAGTCGGAAATGCATTTCAGAATTCCGGCTGACATTTCATGAGATCGGTCACTCTCTGTAAGTACATCATGAAAACTCGGGTGCCATTAAATACGATCCTTATAAATGAGCTGCAAAACCAAAACAAGGAATCTAAAAATTTTAGACGAGATAGGCGATCGTCACTGACTCGGATGAATTCACGAGTTGCTTATTCAGCGAAAAGAATGAGTATGAATTTACCAGAACCAGGTAGGGGTTCTCGTCCTAACCCCCCAAGGAATGGTACAGAAGGCATCATAATCATTTTAACTTGGAAGACGGCAAAATGATAAACCTTTAATCCAACGGTGCTCGAGACTTCTGAAAATTCTATGTTATAGCACGGAAGTCAGGGTTGACGAAGACACAAAAAAAATAAATGACCACGGTTGGAATCTATGTTCGATGACCAATCAAGGTGAAGCGTCGTTACTTCTTCGGCCAGGTGGGCAAGGCTGTGCTAGGACTACGCTCCTCATAGCTCTGGAGCAGAACACGGACAAGACATCGAAGGCAGTTGATCGAACTAAGAAATACTTTATACAAGCAACGGCGGCCACATACATAAACTGTCAAAAGAAGCTCTGTGCAGCAAAACAGTTTGTTAACGTAAATTCACTAGTTCTTTTCATAGGATAGTCGATAATGTGCGACGAGGGCCACCACTGTGTCGAGAGCGCAAGCGGTCACCTGCACATTATACTGAGAGGTTTGCGCGGAATCGGCCTGTTATCATACTCATCCTACTCTAGCTTACACACGCTGTTGTTTGCGACTTACGCGTTCACGAACTTCGTCTTTGTGGTCTTGCCACGTGGTTCCATGAGCTAACCGACGCAAAAAGCAGCTTTGCACATCACTTCAGTCGACGGTTTAACGTTGCCGAGATGAAGAATGTCAATCTACAACCCTGGACATAGCACTGCCAGTAATACAGCAACGACAGAAGTTAAAACAACGGCTTTTAAATTTAGTCAAAACTCGAATGGTTCGAGTACAGGAGACGCTACATACAAATGCGTCTACCTGGGACTGGCGGCTACAGTAACTTTAACTAAAATTAGATAGATAGCATTCTATTGATCGGCAGTCAATTAGTCGCAGTGATTACGATGACAACAACGACAGTGATAGTAGCACAGACCGTATTGCTGACCTATCTGTTCTGTTTCAGAATGATAAGATGAAGGAAATGTGACAAATAATCAAATCTTTGCAAGAAGGTCAAAAGTTTCCCAAAAAGGAAAGGGTGACTTCTAAATGGAGTGCTTACTGACGCATGTAGAATCAAATTGAGAGCCTCGCTGGTATTAAAACCGCCTCCGCCCGGACAACCACGCCCAAAGCAGTCAACACCGACGAAAACTCGTTTAGACCAATGCGTGCTCCCAGCTCTTTAAAGAAAAAGAGGGATGCCTTGGGAGAATCTGTACAAAGTCGTGGTAGGCTACACAGAGCAATTTAGAGAAGAATGAGAAAATCGAAGAAAATTAACGAAGGAGCGAGAGACGAAAACGTACGTCTCCTGTGAAAGTCGTAGCAAGTCAAGGTTCCAGTTGTAGTTTAAGAATATGCCATCTTCAGCCGCACGAGCGAAATCAGCATTCTCAGTATTGAGCGCGTTCTGCCACTTTAATTCGCCTTTCCTGGTAACGGCGTCGTACCTGTTTCCAGACAGAGGAGGTAAAAGAAACTGTAAGCTTTTCGGCACAAGGAACACTGTATGAGGCCGAAAGGGGAGGATGCAGAGAAGTCAAAATAGCAGGAAAGTGAATACTACTTCGGTGAGCGGAAGTCCGAAATGGGATGTAAGGAAAAAACACTCGTTTGTATGGAGGAATCTGCCGCCTAGACAGACAAGAAGGATCCAATGAAGAGGAAAGTGGAATTGTACGTCATGGAGCCGATACTTACCATACTACTTCTGAACCACATGCCTTGAGGCAATGAAGGAAGTGGAGCATCCGATTCAGCGTTTTTTGTTCCTCACCCTGTGAAGGTGCAAAATAACGACTCATAGTTATTTTAAGCACTGCAAAAGAGTGTCTAACGAGTTTGCTCTTCGTTTCTGCGTAGGACTAAAATCGTAAACGACCCGATTCACGTTAGAGGAAAACTCTACTGTTCATTTGATGGTTCACTCTTGTCGAGTTAATCGGCCCATTCAGTAGAACCGCTTCGCCACAATTCGTGGTCATATTTCCCTCGTTTTTCTGCACACAATAATTATTGAGCACTATCTAATACAAATATATGGAGAAAACTGATCAGTGGGTATTGAAAAATGGAGTTTCAATGGAGGCAGTGATGAAACTACATGCAGCGGATTTCAAACTACACAGGCAAAGTCAGCAGAGGAAAAGGTTGGCAGAAATACCCTTGCAGCATGTGTGTGAGAAATCAATCAAGGTAAGAGTATTTATGAGATGCAAACGACTGTAATGGAGGCATTTAAATATACCTCTGGAAATTTGATTTCCATGTTTATAAGCCAGCCCTCAAACTTCATTTGACGGCGGATTTTATCGAGGTACACCGCCAGTTCGCCAACGCTAGGGGAAAAGGACCCTTCGGGGATATTTTTGCGACAGAAAACTCTCTCAAAAAACTCATTGGCAGGGTCTTCGAGGATGAAGGTGCCGTAGACTTTGACGTTATGTCTGATAAAAGGGAAGTAAAGTATGAACAACGACTACATGCGTTGTGACAGTTGTACAAAATATAAAGTTGATTGTGCTGTACAGAGAGAGCGCAAACAAGGATACAGAAGAGGCCTGACTTCCGTGAAACATAACGTTACGAGCCACACCCACACATATGAACGACTTTATGGGTGCGCTGATAACATCGAGAGTCGAAATGAAAGTTTGTAATACTTTTCCCTATCAACTGTCCACACCCAAAGTGAACGACTAGTGACCAAGATCCCAGGTAAGCTCCGCTACGCTTGCTGAGGCTTCTCTAATCCCAAAATCCGTACGATGATAAACATCAGACAAATAAGAGTCACGAGTAACTCGGCTATGTGGCCTACAGTGAAGGTAAAATCCCATGTGTCAACACGCGGTAACGAGGTCTGACGAACGGCCTAAAATGCCTTAGCGGCAGGATTAAAGTAATGTATAAATTCCGAAGGTGCTCCAAAGTGTCATGAACACGAATAGATACCTGTGGGCTATATTAATCCAACCAATCGGTGGAATAGTTATGTTCTGATGGCTGAAGTACACAAAAACGTCGATAAGATGCCAATGAACGTATCGGAATGACGGAAATTCGGCGGTTTGTTTGGTGGTCTTGTCGAATTCCAGATATCCCCCAGCCATGTCGTGACAAAACATAATTTTCGGGAGGTCGAGTCCTCTATAGAAAGTAGATTGGTCTTACTAAATGAGATTTAATACTGTGTACCGTCAACAAAGCCCTCATTGTCAAGAAGGTGGCAA